GCCACTAGTTAAGACAAATTGATAGGAGGGATTCAGAGAATCAGAGCGCTAAGTTTCCTCACCACAACAAGCCACATAACACGGGCCAGAAGTGTAGGAGGCCACACAACCATAGCAAGTTGATTAATACATTCCTCCATTGCATGTACCAAACAGAGCCACCAAATCCAGATTGCTCCTCTTTTAGATGTAATCAGCTTTTAAACCACTTTTCTTTCCTTTCCACCAAATTTAGTTTTGGTTTTTCAAAATATGAGCCATACATCTGAGCTAATATTACCTGTCTCAATATCAGTGTCAGGTCCTTCAAATATTTGATTTTGGAGATGAACTGGACTGACACTTTCATAGTGCCCATACTTGCTATCATCCTTAACCCAGTCAGTTTTGTAGCAATGGACAAGTTCATTTAAATGCGGCCATTGCTCCATATTTTCATCAAGCTGAGATAAACGAGAAGAATTTGTTAGGAAAGCCCTCAAATTCTCCAGATCAAGCATTTTACCATTCAGCACCAATTATTGGATGTAAGCAGATTTTAAATACTTATGATAGCAGAAAAATAATCGACACCACGTTCAATCAAGCAGTAGAGATGATCAGAAAAGACACTTTAGACGATCTTTGCAAAAGAAAACGATATCTTTGATAGGCCTTCAGACAGCTAAAATGATGTCAGTTCCATCAAACAACTGAGACCAGCACAGTGCCAATCTGTCAACTAGTCATATCCTTCTGAAAATGAGAAGGATGAAAAAAAAGCTAAAACTCACTGCACATGAATGGTTCATTGATGAGAAAATGAAAAATTGATGTGAACATTCAACAATCAAAATAAATGTTTTCAGCCAAATGTAGAGGGTAGGGAAGCCTGAAAGACTCTAACAGATGAGAACTCCAGACAATTCTCAAGAAAGTGATAGGCATCCATAAACGATGAGAAAAAGGCAAGAGTAGTGGCTCGTTCGTCGTAGGTTATAGAAGAGAGACATCTATTACAAATTTACAAGACATTCGAAAGATAATTCCAATAAATAGCTGACTATAGTTCAGGGGCAGCGCACCACGCATGCAGGAGAAAAACTACCAAGTAGTAAATGAAAGACTGAGATTCAAGATATCCAAACAATTGAAAAGTTTAACGGCATCTAGCCAGATTCATAAAGGTTGTTTTTGCATAATCAAACGAAGATTCATGGATTAAAGCGAGTAAGTGAATACTTGCATGCTTCCTCTACAGTCCAAATCATGCACATGACCTTTTACAAGTTGAGATAAGCAGATCAAGTTTAAGAAAGACTATCCGTCCTGATGTCCTTCGATTCACCACATGTCATCCTAGAGAAGGCTCCGTTTATTCGCCAAGTCATGAGAATATTGCGTGAAACCCTTTCCCGAGAACCCTTTGCAAAAGCGATCTCAGGAAGAGCAAGCTGCCGGCCAATCGAAAAACTTTTGGCAGCATCCAGGGATATCACCCCTTTCAATAGGACATCTTGTGATACCTTTCAATAGGATATCGCGATAGGAGTTCTGCCAACTACATTTCGCAAGCGAATAAGATTAGTTCACAGCAGCAGAACTGGCCATTCCCATTAAAACTGCAAAGTGGCAACAAGTTTGTCGAAACCCAGCAAGTCATGGGCAACATCTCTTGACCACGACGCATCTACCCGGACTACTTTCTCTCTTTTTCGGAGTTCTTTCTCAAGTATGCCACCGAAGGTGCGAATGCGAACACAAGGAGTTCCGAACAGTCAACACTTCAGTACGCACAATGATCAAGAAACAGGAAATAAAAAACTAACCAATGGGTCCAACTTAAGATGAGCGGAGGCGGCGCCGTTGCTAGACTGGCGCGATATCCTTCGAAAACGATTCGACGACTGCGAACCCTCCATCGCGAGAACAGCCCCCGACCCACCTGCCTATCTAGCCCTGGAAACACCAGAAAACCCAACAATGCCGAGTCAATGCGCGCATCTTCAGCCAAGAAATCAGCGTTCTTGGGAACCCAAATCTAGCCGTACAAACCACTCGCGCTCGCAATGCGGGGGTACAAACAAAACAAGAGCAAACAAACAAGTACGGGCAACGCCCTGTATCGTGGTAGATCTAGGACCCAAGGCTCACCCAACCATTTGCCAGAGGAAAGAAGCGAAGAGGAAAATGGGATTTCAAGGGAGATTTGGGAGCAAAAAGAGAAACGAACCCTTTTCGATTCTTTATGCGGTTTGAATCATTGACGGGATTTCACGGGTGGGGGGATTCAAGAAAAGGCAATGCGGGGGGGATGGGATGACTTTCCTTGCGGGACCAAAAACTACCGCACCACTACCAACCCTAACTGCAGAGCGAGAGCGAGAGAACGAGAGAGAGAGGGAGAGGGAGAGGGAGAGAGCAGTTGCTACAGTGACAGCACTGCCGTACAAGAGTCAAACTGAGTCCAAAGCCATGAAGAGAAAGAGAGAGAGGAGAGGGAGAGGGAGAGGAGAGAGGAGAGAGGAGAGGGACTCAAATCTCTTGTTTTTTGAGGTGTCATGTAATGTAATGGGAAAAGCTCATAGTGGCTGTCCTTTTGGGTATAATAAAAAAGAAATTTACTTTCCAGTTGTTTTTCTTTGGCTTCTAAGAAAAGCAAATTTCTTTCTTCTTTTTTTTATCTCCCCTTTCTCTTTAATAAATAATCGGACCGGAGAAGGTCCTTAAAAGGTTACAATTTCCGGTACGATCGAGGGATCTCCCCATAAGTTTTCTCCACATGGTGAAAGGATCTCCCTCTCGAGAAGAAAAAGATTGGAAGGAAATTTAAGGGGGCCTTGAGTGGTGAAGATAAATCCCACGTCAGTTTTGGCTGGCCACATACCGGTAAGTAGGTATGGTAGCCTCTCGCGCTTGGAGTGATAAGGTGGAACTTTACTTCCTACACTGCTGGCCTGTGCTTACGCACAGTGCTTAATAATCGGCTTGCTGGCAGTGTACTCCTGGTTAACTAATTCCTTTTTCTTTATCTCCCCTTTTTCTTTAATAACTATTTTACCTTCCCCAAGCTTTTTCCCTTTTTCTTTTCTTATTCTTGCGCTCGAATGAATATATAAGCCAAGCAATTAATAAACGGAATCCTGGTTAAAAATAATATTTGTCCCACTAAGGTAGTGTGACTGAGCAAAAAGTCTCTTGAAATGGGGACCTCCTGCTGTTCTTGTCGATTGTTGGGAAGAAAAAATCATATATTTTTTGGGTTTGAAGTGCGCTGAATAGCTCTCTGACTGCTAAATCTCTTAACACCTAATCCACGGCCATCAGTGCGAATTGTTGTCAAAATTAGGTCTCCAGTCTATTCCAAATGGTAGAGTAATCTTGCTACGCTAAGTAGAAATTTACTGGTGTTGGGCCAATTCAATTCCTTCTTTCGCTCCTCCGATTCAATTAACTCCATTCTACTCGTCTGAATCGATTTCGAATGCGACTCAAAGTCGTACTTAGGTGAAAAAAGAAAAAGAAAGGGAGCACGAGAACGGATGAAGTTCACGATGTTCGGAATTAAAATGACCATCGGATTCATTTGCCTCCAGCTAAAACAGTCGCAAGTAAAAAAACAGTACTTTTAACATTTTTCTAGTAAGAAATGTTAAGTTAATCTCTTTACGGATCAATCGTAGCCTAGCATATTATTAAACAAAATTCGATTTGAGTACTCATAAGATCGTGTGTTTCAAACACTTGCTCGCGTACTCGAGCAACAGAATGAGTCTCGTTCATTCTCATACTAGATACTACTGATTGGTGACTAATGGCAAAACAGAAAATTGTAATTAGCATCCAGTTAAAACAATGACAACATCAATTCTCGTTGTTTTTGGATGCAATGGGGGCTGTTGGCAATGTAAAACAATGAACATGTCAAGTTTGCACTAAGATCATAACTAATCCAGGTTAGTTTGCACTTGGGGAAGTGCCAGTTTGGTTATCCAACGATGACAATGAGAATTAGACTAGTCATCGCATGTTGACGTTGTCCCGTGTCAGGATCCCATCACCATACCTAATCCATTTCATATAGGATTTCCATTACGTTAGGTGAAAGGCGTGTGCCCGCAAAAGTGTTACCTCCGAAAGATTTGAAATTTCTTAGGAATATGTATAAGCTTCGCGGGATGAAAACCTGCGAAAAAATCTCTGCATCAAGGGTTATTCTATTCTGTATCTTCTCTTGATGTATGTCTTTGTGTGATATTGAAAGTCTGCAAATAGCCAATTAATCTTGATATGCGTCAAGCTTACTATATCTCTTACCATGCCTAAGTTAACAAGAAAAATTGAATCGCTCAAAACTCAATTTCAAATGCAAAAACAAACAGCTAAAAGAGATCGGATATATTTGGCCCATGCAAGTCTCGAACCTGCGACCTTCGCGTTAGTAGCACGACTCTCTAACCAACTGAGCTAATAGGCCTCCATGCCATTGGAGGCCGTTAAGACAGAAATGCCTTATGCTGATTATCTAAAAAGTTAATGACTTATTCAATTGCATTGCACATGATAGCTGACATCACAGCAACCAGGAACTGCGACCAGCAACTCCATTAATGAGATGGATAACAGCCCAACAAAACCAGCCACAATTGGTTTCTTTTCCTTTCTTAAGACAAAAGCAAAAGATCTTCAATCCCAAACGCTGAAGAGCTTAAAAATCACTTCTGAGAGTTCACCAAATCCTAGGCAGTTGCTGCTGCAGGGAACTAGTTCGAGTCAATGCCTCTATTTCCAGATGGGCGCCATACTATTTTCTGCAAGATCCCTGAAGAAAACCCCGAACCATCATGCTAGTTGGTAAGTCCAAGTAAAAACTAGTTGACCCCCTTGAGAGTTGCGACAGAAGAGTTGCCTGAATTAAGGAGAGGCAGCATAAAAAGTGTTGCACCAAAAACCATGCTAAAAGCCGAGCGCGGTGAAACTCTCAAGCATTCATTAGAATGAGTATATTGACCACAGGAGAGATCAAGAAATAACCGCTTTTACAAAAAACATAAATTTTTCGAATTACATCGATACTGTCTCTCACCAAAGCACTGTGAACGCTATACATTCCATTTTCTTCATTAATTTGAGCTCTCCACTCTATAACTTAACAAGCCTCAACTTTGAGTATTGATGACTAGCTTCTGTTAGAAGCACAAAAGTGTTTCTCCAAATTGCAACAAGCTCGGCAAAGTTAGTGAAGTTTTGGAAACCTCCAATGTGAAAAGCAGTTGCATCCACGAGATAGCTGAAATAGCTGGCAAATCCAGAACCATTCTTGTGAAGGAGATCTCACGCCACCATCCACCATTACCAACGTTGCAGTCGTACTGTCGTAGAACAACTGCTGAAAACGGATAACCAGCAGCTAGCGGAAATAGACAGTTCTCAAGCAACAGTCAGCAAAGAGAGTTTATGGATTTGCACCTTTGGTTGCAACTGGCGTATTTCTTGCAGCCAGATATAGGAAAAGAAAGACTCTACAGAGACAGGTAAGCAACAAAGTGATTTGAAGAACTAATCATGAGAATTAAGAACGTTCTAAAACGAATGACACTTTAAAGGGAAAGCAAGAAATGGAGTTGTTAGGATGAATAGTCAGTATTCTTGTACTAAGCCACCAATGTGATTTGAACTCTGCAACCAAATGAAGTATGGCTATATGGGTAAAGCAATCATCTGCAACTTGCTCAATGAAGGTTAGACTAACTTTCTGAAGCATTTATTGTCAAAGAATTAGCAGTTCCCCGAAGGCTGTATAGCTAGAATCTTCACGGTGAACTTATTGTAAGAAGATCTAGATGAGTTGGGCGAGTGAAAACCACAAAGAACTGATGACTCCCTATAACCATACCCAATGTGGGCACCACACTTACGGCAGAGAAGTTTTGTCTTCAAGTGGTTACAACCCCAATAAAGCGGAAAACACGTAACTTCATCCACCTGGGTGAATCTGCTGAGATCAACCGAAGGAAAGGTAGTGAAACCTTTCTTCAAGTCTTTATCATATTCCGAACCCACTCCAGCAGCAATCCGATTGGAAGATGCCAAGTTCAGAGGATATCCACAGGAACCACAGCTGCAAGGCAAAGGAAGAACGTGAATTTTACCCAAGAATGGGCATCGGAGTACTTAAAACTCGACTGGCATGCTGCATCATAGAATTATAATTATAGCAAAGTACTAAAGATATATATGTGTGTAGATATACACGAGTGACCAAATCGATGCTAATGAGTTATTGTACAGTACAAGACCATTTCGGCGCTCTAGCCTCTAGCAACTCCTTGTATTGGTATTTTGTCACTGCATCAGTTCTGTACTAGTCCAGAAAAGAGAAACCATACAACTAGAAGCACGAGTTCGAAAATCTAAATGCTTTACCAGCAAAGAAGATTATAAGTATATGAGCTATGAGGAACAGTCATTTTGACTACAGGGAAACTGAAGTTGCGGTATAAAGTAAATGCTGACGTATGCGCATGTTTAAGTAACTGAAACGTGCAGGATTTGAAAGAAGAGGTGGTTAGAAGCACAGTTTAATCAAGAAAAAGGGCCATGTAAGAGCTATAAGATCAGAATCTAACAGAATTTTGGGTGCCTAAAACAACCACTATGAAAAACGGTAAAGAAACTAGAGGGAACTTGGATTTAGTCAGGAACCTTAAGATTCCAAAACTGAGGATGCAAAAACTTGGACTCGTAATTAAGGATGTTGCGGCAAGTGAAACTGTAACTAGTCACTGCTAGGCTGCGCGAGGAAATGTTTTGCTTTGCCGAAACGTTGTTCCTCAACTTTGAGCCTCCACATTTTCATGGTCGAATGAGATGGAGGTAACGGATGTGTAAAATCGCCATGAACCATGGTAATCAGTTATACATATAATGTAGCCATAAATCATAGTAATCGTACACATGGTCAACCAAACTTACCAGAGCTCAAAAATATCTTTTTGTTCAATAAGCACAGTCCGACAAATCTACACTTTCACCAGTAAAAAAGCACTTCCTTTCCTTTTTCCTTCCCTTGAAGGAGAACAAGGAAATGGGTCATTTAGAAGCCAGTGAAAGAACACTGCATGAGCACCATTCCATCTGCCTCCATTCCCCAACTCCAAAAGACCCAAAAAAGATGGAATCTTTTTAATAACCAAAATCAGTCATACAAACTCGGCCTAGTAAGATCGATCAACCACAAAAAGCCGACGCTTTTTAGCCTTAGCGAGTTAGCTTTGACTCTGTTGCATAAGACTCGATCAAATAACCACACATCTCCGAAAAGGAAACGGCAACATGGAAAGGAGACAAGAAAAGAAGCACGTAAATCCCGTCACGAAGTTCTTGCCCCAAGCTCGCGTGACAAATGCAGCAACCATACAAAATCCCATCATCGTCCTCGACATCGAAGCCGCCGCCATCACAAGCAGCAAAATAACCACGAAATCAATCATCAAGAAAACCACGACCCAGATAAGAAAGGGAGCACATCAAATAGACAAACAAGCACCGAGACCACATTCTTTCCGGTATCGAAACCCAGTACCGGGGCCAAGCATCCAAGAGTCTACCAACGCACTGCAGCCAGAGAAAGAGAAAGAGAAAGACAGACAGAGAGAGAAAGAGAGAGAGAGTACCAGTAAGAGACGTCGCTTTCCGACATGCTTCGAGTCGGTGATCCGAGAAAGACGGCGGATTTCGCTGAGGAAAAAAATGATATCTTGGCGAGACTCGGAGTGATCGGAGGCCAATGAGATGGAGAGGCTTTCGGTGGTTCTGGTCGGTGTTCTTTGGAGGCCTTTTGTCCGTTCCGCGCGCGAGGGTTGGACTTTTGGTAAAATTCTACCGGCGGAGAGGGAAGTTAAACAGCGTGGAAGGGACAAGACGGGGGTGATGGACTTTTCAGCAAAGCGGTTGAGCCGTTGACATCGGAGGCAAAACTTCAGTCAGAGCAATCGGGGGGTGGCTTCACGTCTCCGTTTCTTCCTTCGCCTTTGACGTTTCTCTCTCTCTCTCTCTCGCTCTCTCCTTGGTGCGTGCCTTGTCCTTTTCTGAGATGACTTGGACTTTGGAGGCGTGGTTGACTTTTAAAAAGACGAGGAGGAGGAGGACGAAAACAAGGACAAAGGGCAATCTATGCGGGGGTTTGGTCCCCATGCCATCACGATCGGATTTCTCGAGCACCAATCTCGTCCGTCGATGGTCGAACGTTGTAAAGCAAAGCCTCATCCACGAATCTTGACCGCGGACTGTCTCGTAAACTAGGGGTGATCGGTTTTCGAGCAGTCCAATTTCCATCCAAGAATCGAATACGGGACCGGTGCCCTCTAGAACGGGTGGCGTATTCGGTTTTTCTTTTTTTGATTTGTCATTAATTTTCAAGATGAAATTGAAGATCTTCTTGATAATTAAGGCGTTTATATAATCAATAAGTTACCTGTAATATCGTAGGTTTCACATAATTTTTTTCAATTTGAGCTAAAATTTGGTTGGAATGAGCAACTACTATTGATTGGAGCATTTTCTCCTCTAAGTGGGTTTATGCACAAGAACTAAGCAGCTGTTGTGGAATTGGTTCCTCTCCAGCCTTGAAGGTTCTTCTTTTGTGAAATGAAAAATAGATTAGGATTCTTTTTTTAATAGGTTTTCAAGAAATTAAAAAAAAAAATTCAATCAGGTCCAAATGGTTTGAGTGGGCGGTTCCACACTTGAAATCGGGAACCGAACTGGTGCCCCTAAGAGTCACCCAGAACCGGCCGATCCAATCCGGGTGATTCTCAGTTCGGACAATTCCTTTTGCTTATCCCTACGCTGAACAGACGGAAGAATTCGATACTGCTGTCTTTGAAACGATGGTCATATAGAGATCACAGCAAATTGTGTTCTTCTAATGATTTTCTTCCAAAATTTCTTGAAAAAAAGAAAAAGTTCAAATCTTTAAGAGCCTAGTAGTTTATAAGTGATATAAATTAGAATTTACTCGTGAAATTACTCGCTCACCGACCGTCGTCGATGGATATTAGGCGATATCAAGCGACAATATCTCCATGGGATTAAATTGAAATGCTCCGTAACAAGTATAAACTCCTCGTGATAACGCTCGTATCGAGTAGTCGAGATCATCCCTCCCTGTGTTTTTTTTTTTCACAACGAGAATTTGGTATCATAAGAGTTACTATTTTACGAGTGTATGGATGCATTTGATAGCTCATATAGCAGGTACCATCCGTCCTATCCTATTTCCACGGCGCACTCGACAGTCAACACCAAATCAATTGAGATTCCCTTCATTAAAATTTTGAATTTATTGTCTTCGGTCTAGGGTGGAGATGCAATTAGCCTAATCTGGAAAATGACTAGTACTTTAGGAGCGATGTCCTGGCATCGACCGAAGCAACAGATGAAGTTACAACGACAAATTATGGCTAAATAAGACGATCGCAAGCTTCTTCTTGCTCTTCGATGGTGCAATTGAATTGTGATCTCACTTCAATTTCGCGATATTAATCAGCTTTTCTTTATCGAAGATGGTGCACATACAATCGGAGAAGACGAACACTGATAGACAAGACAACTCTGACTCTCTGCGATAGCAATTCTCCGACCACGGCGCAATATTCCCACGATCACGTAGCCTGGACAAGATGCCTGTCGTTAACAACGGTGGTTAGAAGGCCAAAGAGAACTTTTAATTCGTATAAGAAAATTTTGGGATAAGTACATCAAAAGTCATAAAGCTTATCATGAAAGTGTAATTGAATCCTAAAACTTGCAAAAAGTGCAATCAAGTCTTAAAACTTGTTAAATTGATGCAATCAAGTAATTTTGCTTACTCCGTCCAACTTGGCTTACGAAAAATGCTGACATGACCCTTTTTTAATATTTTATCTCTTTTACATAGCGATGATGTGGCTAAAACATGAACATTGAGCTAAAACAATATCGTTTTGGTCCATATTGGATTGCCTGGTTAACAAACCATGGTCAACAATAATCAAGGCCTCATCACCTGGTTTCAACTGTCCTTTTTTAAAATTTAGATTCCTTTTTATTTAATTTATATAAAAGATCGGATTTGAACCAAAATAACGTCGTTTTGTCCTATATTCTCGTTTTAGCCATGTCATCACCATGTAGGAGAGAGAAAATATTAAAAAATAATTACGTGAGCATTTTCCGTTGGCCAAGTTGGACGGAATTAACAGAATGACTCAATTGCACTTTTTACAAGTTTTAGTACTCAATTGCGCTTTTGTGACAAATTTTAGTACTTTCAGTTCATTTATCCTGAATTTTTCTTCTTTTTCACTTAATCGAGCCGAGCTAATCATGGTTTCGTATGCTATCAAGATGGTTAATTAAGTTATTGAAGGCATACTCTTACTTGGTTTGTATCTCACTTGATCACGGATTCAAATTTCTAAATTACCTTTTCGATCTCACAATATTCTGATTCATCTGTGTCTAGTATAAAAATCACCTCAATCTTACTCCAACTTGCATCCCTTGGTGCAATTATGACAAGCTCGCTTAACAAGAGTAGTGATTATGGCTCCAACTGAAAAATCTTCATCAATAATGATTGCCAAATAAAAAAAAAATGGAAAATGATAGTGATAGTTCATAAAATTTAACTTAATGTGTAATGTCATCTTTTGAATTTTAATTTGTTTAATGTGGTCCTTGAATTATTCTTAAATGTTTCATCTAGTCCCTAGATTTTCAATTTGCTCAATCTAGTCCCTTAACTATTCATAAAATGTTTGATTTCACCTTTCAATACTATTTACAAGTTTTTATAATTACACTATTGTCCATATATTAAAATGTATTTCCATTTCAATCCATTATCTTAATCAACAAAACAAATTTGATATTTTTATTTCTCTTATTACTACGATAGTTCCATTTAAGAATATTGTAACTCATTATCTCTACAATAGGAAAATTAGAACCTCATCTAGAGTAGTTGTGACATTCCGAATTTTGACCCATTTTTGGGATTTATAGAACGTTATGCATTTGATAGCTCATATAGCAGGTACCATCCGTCCTATCCTATTTCCACGGCGCACTCGACAGTCAACACCAAACCAATTGAGATTCCCTTCATTAAAATTTTGAATTTATTGTCTTCGGTCTGGGGTGGAGATGCAATTAGCCTGATCTGGAAAATGACTAGTACTTTAGGAGCGATGTCCTGGCATCGACCGAAGCAACAGATGAAGTTACAACGACAAATTATGGCTAAATAAGACGATCGCAAGCTTCTTCTTGCTCTTCGATGGTGCAATTGAATTGTGATCTCACTTCAATTTCGCGATATTAATCAGCTTTTCTTTATCGAAGATGGTGCACATACAATCGGAGAAGACGAACACTGATAGACAAGACAACTCTGACTCTCTGCGATAGCAATTCTCCGACCACGGCGCAATATTCCCACGATCACGTAGCCTGGACAAGATGCCTGTCGTTAACAACGGTGGTTAGAAGGCCAAAGAGAACTTTTAATTCGTATAAGAAAATTTTGGGATAAGTACATCAAAAGTCATAAAACTTATCATGAAAGTGTAATTGAATCCTAAAACTTGCAAAAAGTGCAATCAAGTCTTAAAACTTGTTAAATTGATGCAATCAAGTAATTTTGCTTACTCCGTCCAACTTGGCTTACGAAAAATGCTGACATGACCTTTTTTTAATATTTTATCTCTTATATGTGTTGATGATGTGGCTAAAACATGAACATTGAGCTAAAACAATATCGTTTTGGTCCATATTGGATTGCCTGGTTAACAAACCATGGTCAACGATAATCAAGGCCTCATCGCCTGGTTTCAACTATCCTTTTTTAAAATTTAGATTCCTTTTAATTTAATTTAATAAAATTTATATAAAAGATCGGATTTGGACCAAAATGACGTCGTTTTGTCCTATATTCTCGTTTTAGCCATGTCATCACCGCGTAGGAGAGAGAAAATATTTTAAAAAAATTACGTCAGCATTTTCCGTTGGCCAAGTTGGATGAAATTAACAGAATGACTCAATTGCACTTTTTATAAGTTTTAGTACTCAATTGCGCTTTTGTGACAAATTTTAGTACTTTTAGTTCATTTATCCTGAATTTTTCTTCTTTTTCACTTAATCGAGCCAAGCTAATCATGGTTTTCGTATGCTATCAAGATGGTTAATTAAGTTATTGAAGGCATACTCTTACTTGGTTTGTATCTCACTTGATCACGGATTCAAATTTCTAAATTACCTTTTCGATCTCACAATATTCTGATTTATCTGTGTCTAGTATAAAAATCATCTTGATCTTACTCCAACTTGCATCCCATGGTGCAATTATGACAAGCTCGCTTAACAAGAGTAGTGATTATGGCTCCAACCGAAAAATCTTCATCAATAATGATTGCCAAATTAAAAAAAAAGGGAAAATGATAGTGATAGTTCATAAACTTTAGCTTAATGTGCAATGTCATTTTTTGAATTGTAATTTGTTTAATGCGGTCCTTGAATTATTCTTAAATGTTTCATCTAGTCCCTAGATTTTCAATTTGCTCAATCTAGTTCCTCAACTATTCATAAAATGTTTGATTTCACCTTTCAATACTATTTACAAGTTTTTATAATTACACTATTGTCCATATATTAAAATGTATTTTCATTTCAATCCATTATCTTAATCAACAAAACAAATTTGATATTTTTATTTCTCTTATTACTACGATAGTTCCATTTAAGAATATTGTAACTCATTATCTCTACAATAGGAAAATTAGAACCTCATCTAGAGTAGTATCAGGTTGATATTCTTGTTATTTTATTTTTTTAATTAATAGATTTAACTCAACTTAATTAAGAAACCGCGAAACAAGAGAATTTAAAAATTTTATTTATATAAAAAAGTAGGAACTAAATAAAGGTTATTTTGATGATAATGATCTATAGATATATATACATTCTTCTATATCCTTATGAAAACATTTGTTTTTATGTTGCATTTGGTAGTCCGGATTCGGATCGGGATATGATGGAATAAAAGGGATTTGAAATCCTTTAAAATATCCTTCAGATGGTAGAAATATCCCATCAAATGTTTGGTGCAATCTAAGATAGTATTTGAAATCTTTAAAAAGCACAACTTGAGAGATAATTGAAAATCTTTTAAAATCCTTCTTTTTGAAAATCTTTTAATATCCCATCTCCGATGGCTCGTGTACGACGACTCAAACCCTCTCAACCACTGTCGTCAATAAGCAGTCTCTCGGCCTTGGGAGTTTAACGACTTGCATCAGACGTGACCTCTTCCATTAAGTAAAATTCCGAACTGAACGTCCTCTCATCGTTGCTGGAGGCGGCGGCTGAGGGACGATCGCCAAAGGTGATAAGGATGTGTCTTCAAAGTTCAACGCAACATTTTGAGGAGGAGTACGAGTACCAGAAACAAATGCCGTGGACCGTGCCGGACAAGAAGCCGAGAGAGGAGATCAAGTTGTCCCTCTTGTTGGCATAGGGGGTGGTTCAATCAGACGTGCCAAGGGTTTGTGAGGGGCGATGGCAAGGCAGAGAGGAAGTTCATGAGGTTCTGTAAAGACCGCGCACTTATTGGTGTGCATGAAGGTCCTAGAGGAGGAAGATGAAGATGCACGACAATATGAATCAACACAGGCGAGAACAGGGCGAAGAAGTGGGAAGAAAGAAAAGAAAAAATTAAAAGAAAATACCTTAAATGGGCCTCATATTTGACTCTCTCAAATACAACATTCTAAGGAGGAAAAAGTAAGAGACAATATGATTAATATACCGCGAAAAGGAGTATTTGAACCAAATGCGAAGTTATTAAGGGCCGGGTTTATCTCACTCCCTAGGCCAGATTTCATATCCGGCATTTTATCCGGTCCAAAGAATTTCGCAAACTCCGAATACGATAATTTCATGTCATATCCGGATTCAAATTAGCTTACCAAACACAGTCAAAATTTCAGAAAGTATTTGCATCATTCTAGGGAAAGAAAACTCTGGTTGGGTGCGAACCGAGCGAGGCGACTGTCCAAGGTGGACAAACTCGAAAGCGGCGGTCTAGTCCGCCGTTGAACCCGGCGATACGAAAGAGGAGAACCCTGAAACTCAACCCCGTCCATCGCCGGACTCCGTCGTGCGCTCGCCGCTCCGCCGAATCGGGGTACCCTTCTCCTCCTCCTCCTCCTCCTTCTATGCATCTGCGCTCATCCTTAGAGCCACAATTCGTCTCCGTCGCTGCATCTTTCTGGGGCGATGTCTGCTGTTGAATTCTGATGTGTCGTTCTGTGTCTCGGCTTTCGGCTACGCTTCCGATGGCGTATTCCTTCCGTTTATCGCGTTTTCCGAGCAGTCTCTCGTCGGCAGGCGCCGATGTCGATGAGCCGGAATGCGCTTGATTAGGGTTCTTCTTCAAATTCGCGCCTTTTATTACATTATCGAGCTTGGTCGTTTGAACTGTTCGCTTCTTCAATACGGCAATACCCTCTTAGTCTTTTTGCTCGCCGTCTCAAAGCAGGAGGGGTTTCGATAAAGCACCTCGAGTTTTTCGAGCGCCGAGGAGTTTCCGAAAGTTGGGATGCCATCATGATTCATCTGTCTCTTTCGAAACCTGATGCTAATGATAAAGGAGATAGTGCCTCTGCCGAGGCGATTGTCGCTCTCTTGCATCGGTTGGGAACTGCCATCTGGTCGATAGTCGTGTCTTCCGGAGCTAAATCGGAGGCTCGACTGTGGCTTTGCAAAAGTGTATCACTGATGGCGTCGTTGTCTCCCCGTGATCAGCGAGATCTATTCTGGAACATGCTGAGGTCTAAGTCAGCTAATCTGGAGTTGGCATCGCAACTCTTGCAAATGTTATTCGAGAAGAGACCGCGCCTGGCAGGCTCAATCCTAGCCAAGAGAAGCCACATGCTGGAGAAATTTTTTCAAGGTAAATATCGATGAGCAGCTTTGGGCACTGTGCTGTGGGAAGAGAGCTGTCTTATGTAATCCTAGAAAGAAAAGGGTCACTACTTTTGGCAAAGATAATAAAAATGAATAAAATTGAAGCTCTCTGGCAGATAATTAACCTGGCCTTTCATTGTTGCAATTTTCTGATGAGACGAATGCTTGTCACGTGGCATACCAGTCTGTCAATTGGCAATATGTTAAGGTAGAGCTTATATTCAATGGTGTTTGGTTGTAAATGATTTTCACATCTATGACGGATAATGCAGGAAATCCGAGGCGTATATTAAAGTGGTTTTCTAACTTCGATGCTGGTGGTGGGTCAGATCATAAAAAAGGAGCAAAGGCCTTGTCTCAATTTGCTTTCATTAATCGTGATATTTGTTGGGAAGAACTTGAGTGGAAGGGAAAGCATGGTCAGTCACCTGCAATGGTTGCTACCAAGCCACATTACTTTCTTGATTTGGATGTTTTGAGGACGATTGAGAACTTTGTTGAATACGTGCCTGACTTTTGGTCTTCCAGTGAGTTTGCTGAGTCACTGAAAGATGGTGAGATTTTGTCTCTGGACACAAAATATTTTGTCGAACTTTTCATTGATTTGATGTATGAGGATGACTCGAGAGATGTATGGGAAGCTGTAGATGATTTTCTCATGGACGCGTCATTCTCCTCTCTATGTAACCACCTCCTCATTTCTCTCCAAGAGAGTGAACTCCTCATTTTCCTGAAATCGCTTAGCAAATCTTTCAGCTCGCCTGTAGAAAATATGGAACTTGGCAACTCGTCCTGCTGGTTAGAAATTGTCCTCTCCAAGTGCAAAGATTTTGCATCTATTGATCAGTTGCTCCTGTTAAATATGGTTGTTAATCAAGGTCGCCAGCTTCTGCGCCTCATGCAAGATGAAGAGTGTCAGGAGGAAAAGGAAAAGGTGCAAGATATAGTATCGCAGATTTTCAATGCCTCAAGCAGTTCCAGCGGCTTTGCTGCAATCCTGGAGGGGTGCCTTGGCATGCGGACCCTTGATGTGGTGAAACTGTTGGGACTTTACTCTTGGGTTATTCATTACGTACTTTCCAAAGAATGTCAGACCTTGGAGTCATGGGAGTCTTTGTTTATACTTAATGGGATTACTTTTAGGAAATCTGGTACATATCCAATCCTGGATCATGATGGAATAAAACAGGAAGAAAATCGGTCTAAGTTGGATAATAAATCACCAGGTGCTATTTATTCTAAGAAGAAGGAGAAAAGGAGAAAGAAAAGGAGGAGGACTGTTGCCTTCAATGATGATGGCAGTGATGATGATGATCTTTTTTTGCGGGCTGATGGGCTGGACGTGCAATCTCGGACCAGAAGTTGGCTGCTTTCCACAGACGGTTTTTCCACACCATGGACCATGGTAAGTGCGATAGCATATTTGTTCTGGCACTTCTTTTTCTGTGTTTCGTATCTTTGCTATCCGTTTTGCTATGCACTTTCTTGGTGTGGGCAGCCTGTTGGTTCGACCTGAAAAACCATTGGCTATCTCAGCATTGTGAGCTGGACTCCTAATTTCAAAGAAATTGGAAAAGAATTTTTTGTTAGGTTCTGATTGAAGGTTTTCTTTTAGCCCTAGAGCAAAATCTGCAAAACTGAAGAAGTAGAAGTTAGAAAATTTTGTCAGCCTCATCATCATATGATCAATGGTCCATTGTGAGGTTGCTTTGCATTTGAGATTTTGCCTTTTGAGCTTTTTATTTTTTGGGCCAGATGCCTTTTGAACATTTTTGTTGGCCAGATGCCTTTGAACATCGACTTCATGAAAGTCGTAATCAGCATTACATTGATTTTGGCATGTTTGGGAGTCAATGCCCCTTCAGATCCATGGCTATAGTTATTCATCACTGCTCTAACAAGCATATGCATGAAGATAGTTTTTAGCAAGGACTTTGAACAAGATTTTGACTTGATATTGGATAAGTCGGATATTTTGGAGCTCTCTATAATCTGTAATTTTCCAAAGTGTTTAAGCCAACGCATATCCCCAGCTATTCAGCCAGCTTCGTGTGGCCTGTTTGGATTTTTGAATGGATGAAAACGGTGGTTCTGTTTCTTTTTTTGGACCTAGATGCTTTTTGTATTTTGTAACATCTGATCGATGAGTGATATGTAAGCTGCAATATGGTGCTTTTTTTAGGGGATTGTGCTTTTTTTGCTTAACCACTAGAAGCTCCAGGACATTTTTACTGCAGATAGATGAGACAGTCACTAATTGAATTTGCACGTTCTGATCTGTGATGGTCTTTTAGCCAGACTTGCCAGAGCACCTTGCGAAGCACTGCTTCTCTGTGTGGATGAAGTGGGTTTTCGCAAAACAAACTGATGCAGCCTAACATGTTTGGTCCAACAACGTTAGTGGCTCTGTCACAGGTAATTTATGTACTCTTTTGTGTGAAAAAGTTCTTCTGGTGGACTGAAAAAGTTGCTATTAATTGAATTGCCAAGAAGAGAAAGTAGATATGCATGTTTCTTGTTGCAATTAAAATTTAATCAATCCGAGTCATTGGAGAGGTTGATCAAATTCGCTAAGAAGAGAAAGTAAACATTCAAGTAGTGATACATGTGCAGGAAGGGCAATTATAAATAAAATCGGAGGAAATAACTCTAGATTGATTTGAACATGCAGGTTGCTCCAAAACTATGGTTTTATCCTCATTGAATATTCCGAGTTCCTATTCTTCTGATGAACAGGTATCAGATTATGCATTCCACTGATGATTTATCTTATTATTATCATGCGTTGTTATGCAAATTTTTATTGTTTCTTTGGTTTATCACCCTGTGGCTGCCAGGTGCACCAGCAGGCGGTTAATAAAAGTTATTTTCTTCAGAAACCTTGCCCCGCATCCCTTGGAGCCTAATAGTTTGGATTGAAGCTCTTCTCAGAATGGTGCCGTCACTGAGCTTGGATATATTTTACTGAAGATAGGATGTAGTTTACAACTGCACGATTGGCCCAACAACACGCTGTTTGAAGTAGTTCGTTGGAATGTATTTGGGAGGTGGACATGGTGCCGATTTTTTTTGAGGTCCATGTTGTCTAGATTCTTGTAGCCTATGGTAAAGAACAAGGTAATGTTTCGGTTTTCTTCCGTGGATACTAAGCTGAAGTTTGACTTCCGAGCGTCCATGGGTAGTTTACCACTTGCTTTTTGGGTCATGACCATTAATAGCCACAGATGACAGTGCGAAGGTGTCCGGAGGTTGTGAAGAACTGCACCGCACCGGGATTGGGTTCTTTGGATCAGGTTGAATCCAGGTTGCCGTGGAATGGTATGGACTGATTGCTGAAATCTGCCCAATTTGCCCAAGACTTGGTGTGGTCCAGAAATTCTCAAGAAAGGCTGGTCGGCGAAAGCAGAGCGAGCGGCCATGTGCTCGCGTTCGTCGCGCAATATTCCTAGCTTGGAGGAGTGATATTTCGGAGACTCTGTTCACGAGCTCTGTAACTTTAAACTACTTTAATCAGCGTGCAGAGTCGAAAGAGCATAGTTAGTGTAGAATATGCACATCTTTTGTTTTCGCTTGGGAGCATGTAGAGTACGTTTTATCTGTGATTGACCTCGGTTGAATTCGTTCCCCAATTGGGTCAATCATCCGAACCTTCGTGATATGCTAGCTTGACAACACCATTTTGCTATTGCCAACGTTCGCGTACGGCGATCCGTCTTAACAATTACGACATAGTCAGGGCGGGAGTGACGTGTCGCCATGGTTGTCGATGCTATTTGACTCCCCGCGGTGGTGACGGCCATCTAGCGGTGATTGATTTGGGCGTTATCGATCGGTGTTACCAAATTGAGTAATGAATTTTTTTATTATCAAGATCGCCTCCAGAAAATTACAAGCCGTCTAGAGAAAGTGAACAATTACTCTTAATTTTGGTATACGGTTAATTTCATTTCCTTTTCTAGATCATGATATTTCTCAAATCAGACGCTTTTAATAAGAAAGAACGTACGGCGACAGAGATGACAACACGCCATCAGCTCGTGGCGTCGGCTATGGCGGCTGAACGGTGGCTATGGCTGTGAAGATCGGTAGTCAGTTTAGAGTCGCCACCAATCCACAAATATCCGAAAATTATATGTTTTCAGGGAGCTTTAGCTTATGAACGAAATGCACCAAATTTTACGTGTGAAAAATCGAGGGCAAGCTTGTCAAATGCAAAAGGAGACAAATCGTATTTTTATTGACCAAGACAGGATCCTAGATCACACAGCCAGGTGACGAGGTGGTCATCATATACCCCAGACAGAGAGAGAGAGGGACCAAACCGAGAAAACTAACGTTTGAAACCCTAATAATTTCCCCCGCTCTCCCAAGAAAACGAAATCTCCTTCTTCTCCTCCTCCTCCTTCTCCAATTCGTTTCGCCCGTCAGAACTCTTCCCATCTCCCCCGCACCGACTCGATCGAAGCCTCCTCCTAACCATCTCAATTCCCATTGTTTTGCTCTCTCTTTGCTCAGTCCGGCCCACGCGGCCGATGGAACAACATCCCGAATTCGTCTCTCTGTTCGCGTGCGAATTCGTTCGGCGAAGCTGAATTCAAGAACTCATCTGGGCTTCTTGTTTTTGTTGCTGTTGCTTGGTTTCAAGTTCGAGCCTTACTTGAGCTGGGATTCGAATCAGTGTAAAGCTTTTTCAGCTGTTTCAGAGACTAAGTTTGGGTAGAGAGAGAGAGGTTTTGAATTCTTCCTGTCACTGTGATCTGTCGAAGAATAAGCGGCGACCCGGGTTGTTGCTAAAGGTACGAACTTTTTTTCGCTTTAGTGGAGTCAAATTCTTGGGTTTTGATTCCTTGAAATTTCTCTTTGCGGTATCCGTGTTCTTTTTGGAGTCCCTGTCGTCATGGAACTACGGACTTGCTCCGGGCTTTAGATGCGAGTGTTTTCTTGGGCAAAAAGGGTCTGTTGGGTAGTTAATGATCTTCTGTGCCATTGCTGATTGGAGTTCGAGAATGCCCGTCGGAGTTTCTTTCCTTATACTTGGACGCGCGTGAGGTTTCAATTCCGATATCGCCTAATCTTTGCCTCAAAACTCGTAACAGAGTGGACGTGTCAAGAGTGCCATGTTTGTCTAGATCCATAATTGCAGTTTCAGCTTAGTTATGATTTTCCAGAGGGTTGTTAATAGATTGGCGGGTTTATCGGTGAATATGCGCTTTTCTTCATTCTGATAGTGTGCCATTTTAGCACGTTAAGGAAACTCATATATGCTATTGTAAGGGTTGCTTGCCAGTTGCTACACATTTTTGTAACATGGTCGGCACCATACATCAGGTAATTCTTCTTAAGTACTCGGGAGACTTTGCTGCTTAAAACTATCCCTAAAATTTTCAAAGATTGCATAGATAGCAAAACTAGCAATTTTTGCTTTGGTCTAATCATCGCTTTATTAAATGTTCATGATTGGTTGAATTTTGCTCCTTGAAATGCATATACAATGCATTGTGGTTGTTGTCTACCGAGAGCATTAATGCTATGCTCAAATCAGTCTTAGGGCCCAAGTTTGTGACATCATCAATAAATTGGATCTATAAGCATGTTCTTGCATTGTTTTCATCTATGATTTACTTGTTGGTATTATGGCCTTGATATTGCGTAGATCTGGCTTTGAGTCTCTCCCTCACGTGCCTGTCAGTTAGAACCAAAAGTAGAAAAGAGAAATATAATAATTGCATCTAAAAAGGCGCTCCCTAGTATGCAAATCTTATTCAGTTGGGTGTTTTTTCAAACATTCATAAAATCGTCATCAATGCGCAAATTTGTCATGGAGCTCATCTTTGAAATAAGACTCGGATCTTGAGTTTGAAGTAATCCAGAGTTGATTTATTTGGTTGTTTATCCTTTATTAGGCCTTGAGTCTGCCTCCTGATCTAGTTACCCATGCCAAAAAGGGAAACCAAAGGTAGAAATGTATCTATTACGGCGTGTGGCCACCACCGTAATAAGCAAATTGGATGCATCAGGGTGTTACTTCTAAAGGGCTAAGCATGAGGCTTGAATATACAACTCTCAATTGAACTTTCATTTATAATTGGTTTATCTAGGGTCCATTAATGAGGCTTGAACCTGTATTTTCAGTCCATCTCCAACATCCCAATTGGCTGAAGTTGAAAAAAGGAGAAATACAAATAGGGAAATGTCTATATGATGCTATGTTGGCTCACAAAGATGAATCTAATTGACTCGTTATGTAACTATATGAGAATGCGGAATCATTGCAGACGAGCCAATATAGTAATTCAACACCTTAGAAAGAGACCAGCTAAGTGAGTTGGCAACATGTCAGTTACAGAGAACTATGTTACCTCCTCGTGGATTTGTGTAGTTCAGTTGTTAATGATGTACTTGTTGTCCCTTACTAATAACCTTATATTGGTAAGAGAAAAGCATCCTAAAATTGATGGAGTTCCATTGTACTTCACACAACAATCAGATATTCTACCCTCGTTATTTGTTATTTTGTATTTTTCAGTTAATGTCCACATCATTAGAAGAGCTGTGCTAGTCATGAATGACGGTTTTATACTGTCTCTGCTATTAATCTAAATTGTCATAGTACTTCCTGTTCGATAAATTTCCCCAGCATTTCTCACATTCTTAGATTGCTGGAACTTCGTGTACTTAATTTATCCAGTTTAAGTATAAGCTCTTGCTAAAAGACCAAATAGCATGTTCATATGGAACCTTGAGCTTTTAGAAAAGAATATTTTCGTTATATATTATGCCTGTTCCTGTTTTGTGTGTTTAGTCCATACTATGGCAGTTTTTTTCATAATCTATTCCCGTACTACTTTTCATATGAGAAAACTCTTCAGACTTCTACCGTTTTCCTAAGTTCCATTAGCGGGGTAACTCCCATGAGGGCTTTCCGAAGGGTATCTCCGCGAGTCATGGTATTTGATGTATCATATCTCTGTCTTCAGTACTGTTGCTATTATACAATAGGAGTTTCTTGTGTAATTATGTGGTACTTGTTGTTTATAGTATCCACCATATCTACTTATGTTGATTTATCATTTTGGAATTCAAGATCAACTTATAATTTGAGATCAACTCAGGAATTTATTATAAAAATTTCTGACATCTTCAAGCATGGTTTAATATGGCAATGTACATACACCTGGAAGCTCTTTAATTCCCCAATTTTGCTAAATCATCTCAGTTTGTTTGTATTTGTTTTAATTAATCAATACTTTGATTGATCTAGGCATCTGTCCGTAGTTTGTGGTTTTGCTCTGCTTCATATGATTAGATCTGTTTGAATATTTGATCTCTGTATAAAATCTGTGGTTTTGCCAGATTTTGTACTAGATCATTTATGTAGTGCTTAAATTAGTCCAAATTTTTTTTAGTCGAAATTTCTTGTTGGATCATTAAATCTTATCGCAACGAAGAGAAACAAAAACAATGCATCCCTTGGTTTTCATTTCCTCCATATTTCAATTAAAGTGGTGCCCTTTAATTTCTGGTTTTCCATACCTCCCACTTGTTATAGTTTTTCTTGATGAATACGTGATCCGCGCAGTAATGAAATTATGAACTTTTTTCTTGTAAATATTTCACCTTTTAGGGAAAGTAAATGATAGCTGTGAAAAGGTGATGGTTTTTAAACTCATAATTAACGTGCAGATTTGGTCTGGATTCAGCTTAATCTTAGAAATCTGCTTTGTTAATGGGTTCGATGATGAACCCCGAATTGCCCACCCAAGGTGACGCTTGAACAGCAACTCCATGGACATTGCTTTGTCACTTGGTTTATGATGTCTATTGATATTGTATCATGGCCAAGCCTTGTCCATTGTGGTTTGGAACTTCCTTCATTTCATGTATATTGTACTTTTGAACCTGTCCTTCAAACTTCAAAGATAAGTGAAAAAAAAAGAAACTGAACTTTTGTACCTGAAGGAGTGCTAACAATTAAATTCAACTTTTCAGTAAGTTGATTGGCTATCTTAGGAAGAAGAGCTGATGAAAGGAAGATTTTCAAGAGGACTTGGACAAAGGCTTTCTTTAGAGGAATCGATTTCTTTTCTTCTCTTTTCTTTTCTTTTGGGGGTTGGGGGATGAGGGAAATGATGAATGCTGTTATATTGTATGCTTGATGCAGTTGGTATCCCTTCCTAAAACTAGGATTACAAATAATCATTGAAAAATTGACACAAATTTTTTTTCATCTGCCTTTCATGATTTTGCACTCTTATCATATGATCTTGTTATTTAAGCTTTTCAAGGAGATTGCTGAAACTCTACTATCATTGGAGCAGTTATAAGTTAACTTGCTGTATCCCATTTTACCAGCCCCCGTTACTGAAGTTAATTTTTTTGCTGTTATAGAATTCTGTCAGACGGTCTCTTGATGGATATCCTATCTCAGCCATTTTGTGCTTTGAAAAGATAGTCAGTGTCCCTGGGCTAATGGATAGAAAATATGCACAATTTTGTAGAAGATAGATAGCCTATTCGTTAAGTGCCTGATTAACTGGATGTTAGAGCTTCACATACTTGCACTGCTAGAGGACAGAAATATCTGAATTTTTTATTTCTTGCGAAGGAATGGTTCCTGGAAGGTTGATGTATCTGTTTGTTACTGTGAAGACTATTCTATTTACTTATTTGATGCCAATAGTAGATGTTATTATCATGCTTACTTGAATTGATGTTTTCTTGTAGCCTTTGTGCTGTCCATAGAATGGAACAGTGTGTTTTGCATCTCTTTATGCCTTGATTTTTTAATGAATTCCTGCTTTTCTTGAGCCATCTAAGTAACAATATTTCTTGTTTGAAATTGCAGTCATAGTTGTGGTTAGCTGCACCATGAAAGATTGATATGGATCCAGAAAGCAAGAATTTTGGAAAAGGTATCATGTTGTTATGGGATTGGATCTTTGTTAAAAATCATTTTGTTTGTCTGTTCATTTTTTTAAGTACATGTCATGATCATTGGACAAAACACACCGATCAGCACCACTTTCAATTAACAAATAAAAATCTTAGGATCCGTCTGAATTGACTTTTGCTTTTTACTTTTTGCTTAATCTAATGGCTCATACACTTCGTTTTTTTTTTAAATCCTAAACAGTTGAAACTTTCAGATTTCAATAATATTAACACGTAGATTCTCATATAATTCGCTCATAGGTTTTCAAATTTGAGTAATATATTAAGTTTTGGCGGGAAAGCTGAAACATACTATTTACTTTTGCTAGATCTTAATCAACAAGCCCTTTTTTAATTTTCTTCCTTCATCATTTTGCATCTGATGTTGATAGGATCTGAGGGTGAACTGATGCTTCTTGTGTGCTTTTCTTCACTTTGAGAGATGGTATAATTATGTACTCAGCATTCCATGTTAGGGGAGAGTGTCCCTATCGATTATCCTCCATCCAGGAAAAATCTATATGGTGATCAGATGCACTATGTTAAGGGCAATAATGATTTATAAATCTGCTTTGCATGCACATTTTACTGAAATTGGTGAAAATGTTGGTGTTGGTATGAGTGTTATATTTACACAGGATGAGAGCAGGAGAAGGTAACTTTTAATTGCACTTTAATTCTTATGGAATATTTTGCACAATTAGCACCATTTCTGTTTCTTTTCTGGATTGCTGATCTACACTTATGTATTAGTCATCCGTTCTCGTAAATTATGATGAATGTGCACATCTCCCTTTTTGCAGGGATGTTTCTGCTTTTTGCTTGCACTTATTCATATTGACTTTATGTTCACTTTGTGCATGTTGAATTTCGCTGCACTGATGTTTCAGTGTTCCCTTTAAAGCTTGATTTTTTGGTTAGCTTACATTTCTACTTGCTGTATCGTTCTATTTGATCTTTTAGGACCGAGAGAATTGACTGGTGCCGTAGATCTCATAACTCACTTTAAGCTGTCGCCCCATCATGAATTTTTCTGCAAGAAGTCCCTGCCATTGTCACTTTCTGACACCCACTATCTTCATAATTTGGTGGGAGATACTGAAATTCGGAAAGGAGAGGGGATGCAGTTGGATCAGCTCATTCAGAGTACATCAAACGGGAGAGATTCTCACTTCCGCATACAACCTTTTGACCTAGATTCTCTCGGAGATGCATTCCTTCTTAGGGAAACAACCCGTGTTGACTTGCCTGCAGTAAGATTTATGCTACTCCTGTTGTGAAGTTTTCTCTGGTTTTCCATTCTGTTCCTTTTTTGTAGCTATTTAGTGCCTTCGCGTGTTGTTATTGCTGGCTTGCTGATCTTACATTTACTTTGTTAGACGGAGAAGGGGATTCCGACCATTTCAGGAAAATCAAGAAGTGAATCAAAGGATAAGGAGAAAAAGCATAAAAAGAATAAAGATAAGGAGAAAGATAGAGAGCATAAGAAGCACAAGCATCGTCATAAAGATCGGGGCAAAGACAAAGACAAGGAAAGGAAAAAAGACAAAGTTGGGCAACATGATTCAGGAGTCGACAACTCCAAAAAACATCATGAAAAGGTTTGACTTTTGAATATTAAACTAGTCTACCTTCCCCCTGCTCTTTCTTAAGCCTAAAGTTGGTTATGATGGAACTGGATAATTGCCATTTTTCTTATACTGATAACACTAAGAAACTTTGAATGACGATTGATGTATACCTTTGTGAGCCAAAAAATAAAATGATGTGTACTTTTGATCGGATGAAAGTTTAAAATATAAGACCTTTATCCTTGATTTTGTCAATCATTTATCTTTTTTTATCAAGTAAGGGGACAACAAGGCCAGAAATCAGGAGCCTGTTTCGATGGGCTTCCAATAAGTCACATTCGGATTTCTTAGCCGAAAAACCAAAAAGCCAGAAGCAGCCATTCTTTAAAATATTTAAAAAGAAAAAAATAGTCAGTTAATAGTATTTTGGTGGATTTTATTATGACTGTACATTGTGCGTCAACAGAAAAGAAAGCATGATGGAGATGAAGATCTTAACGAGCACAAACACAAGAAAAGTAAGGTATTACATTCTGTGCTAAACTTGGGACTATTTTCTTCATCTTCTTCTTCTTCTTCTTTGTTTCTGAATCTTTAAATGCTGCGGTACTTCTCTGGTTGCATGATAGTTTCCTCCATATATTCCTTCAGTCCTTTATCTATTTGTGCTTATCAAGCTGGCCTCCGTATTGTTTGATGTTTTACAGCATAAGAGCGCAAAACTTGATGAGGTGGGAGTCATAAGAGTTGCGGGATGATGTGGTGGCATATTATAATAGTTCACGTGCCGTCTTCATGTTTTATCAGTCTGGGGATTTCTCTTACTGTTACTTAAGGTACATTCTTGATGCTCCATACACCTTAATTCTATGCTTTTACTTTTATGGAACTTTAATTAGTCGGTTCTTTTCCGCCAGAGAGCTCTTGCTTGTAATGAGTGCATTAAAAGATTGAAATTTTGATTATTCTTTGCGGCAGTCCGCAATCAACCATCAATTTCTGATAATGTATTTGCGTTTAGTGAACATTGAGCACTATAGTTGATAATAACTGTCTACTAGACTGGATTTTTTTTTCCAAATAAAAGACATGCTTATCTCTATAACGTAATTTTGCGATAATTTTTTTTTATCTACGGCCATCGAGGGAGTGTACCTTAAGTGAACATATGGCTACATATTGCATTTCAGGCATAAGCACATTTGCTGATGAAAACTAGGCAAACACGCAGGAGTATAAATTGCATAGCCTGCACCCTCCCGCCCCTCCCGCCCCTTCCCTCCTCTTTTCTTCAACTGTCAAACTCCTATTGGCTTAACGAATTTGATCTGAAAAATTTAGACTGGTTTAGATAGTGATTCTCTGTTTAGCAGCTGGTGGTCCAGCTAAACCGGCTGCTACAAACATTTTCAAATTTTTGGCACAAGGGACAATAATACTGGTTTAAGTTTGGACCAAATATACCATTTTAAGTTTTAGTTTGCTAGTATGATGCTTTTCTGATTGCTTGCTTGGTACCAAAGTTATCTTTTTGACATCAAATCTGTAATGCGACTCAGATCCCCTAGTGAATTTGGTTTACCACAGAGAGGGAGGGAGGTTGGGGGTGGGGGGGGCTGGGGGGGGGTGGTGGGGGGGGTGGTCCGCGCTGTGGGTGGGGGTGTTGTGGGTGGGTGGTTTGTGAGGGGCTGCTCAAGTAACTACAGAACTTTGACATTCTGTTTTTCTGTTCATGCAGAGTGACTGAAAATTGACCAAAGATTTGAAGGTGAATTCACCTTTGAAGAATATTCAGATGTGAGGTATAATTGCTGAATTTGATTTCTTTGTATTACAACTGGGGATTTCATATAGTTGAAACTAATTTTTTTTTCCATCAGCTTAATGGCAGAATTGGATGTCCAGCTCTTTAACATTGTTAATTATTTCTTTAATTTGGAAGCATAGTTCTATACTTAGTCTGAACCAGAGTGTCCAGTTTTGACTCCCGAGGAATATTTATTTTGGACTTTAGAGGGGATGTGTATATCGGTATTCTTTTCCCCTCATCACAGTATCAAATTAGTTATGTCTAATATGCGTAATTTACTAAGAGGGTTGCAAGCGTTGAGGAATATGTCGTGCATAATGATACCTCAGGACATAATGTTCAGTGTATTGTTATGTCAAACAACGGCAATTGCCTTCAATTAATTACTGATGGTGTTTCAAGGGGAAAAAGATGGTGCTAGTTGTTGTACATGGAAAGTGTTACAGTGCTTCCTTGTTTTGTCCGGAAAGTTTGCTTTGATCATCTATCTTGTGCCTGCAAATCATGATCTGCTTTGATCTATTGAAATCACAATCTTTGGGAAACCTGCAGCTATATGCCTTTTAGCTAGCCAGAAATCCTGTCAACTGCATAATTTGCAGTTTATTTCATAAGATGGCCACACCCAACTCGTGGTTAACCCATCATGTTTCGTGTGTGCTGTTACAGACTATTCTTTTCTTTCCGATCTTTTACTTGCCAAGATGGATACTAGTACCGTTCAATGGAACAAGAAAACCTCTTGTTTTTGTTTTAGTGGATCCATCATTCAAACTTTGAATCTCAAATGAAGCTTATCATACACTTGTATATATGGATATCTTCCCGGAGTTTTGAATCGGGTCCTAATTTGTTTATACATTATGACAATGTTGATGCTAGATCCATGTAACGATGGGATCCGATGCATAATGATTTTCGGTTGGGGGCTGAAAATCAGGTTGGGATGATATGGTCTTTCGTAGTGGTCCCGTGAATCTCTCTCTCTTCGATGTAACTCGTTTCCATTTGTTTTCTACCAGGGTTGAATGGTTGGTTGGTTTGGTTATCTCCATTTTGTGAGCATTCTTTTCTCATGTTTACTCTCTTGATTACCCGTGGGACTTTTTTTCTTCTACAATCTTTGCCCGATATTCGTAAATTGACCAAATTTTGTTCACCCTCTCCCTTTGAAAGAACAAGATGTGCTAATCCTTATTTACTGTCGGACCAGCAAATCTCGACATTAGCAAGTTCCAACATAGGAATGACTTGACTTATTTCATCGTGGTGTGGCTTTAGATGTACTGTTGGATATGTATATAGCTGAAAACTCAGAAGTGGCAAATTTTATGCGCTATCTGCTGTTGTAAGCGATTTGCTGTTATCATTGCGCTATTTTTCTCAGTAAAAAATTATGGTTGGCCTTGAAAATTTTCGGACTCCATAGTAGGTTCTCTGGGATCTGTGTTTCTTTTTCAGTATAGTTGCACATCGAATTCTTTCAAATGATGGCAAGTAGACAAAATGCTTTCGGATTTAAGTACTTCATTCAAACTACCAATAAGTCGTCTCGATGAGAAATGTCACCACCAAGAGTTAAGAGTGTGTTTGTTTCGTTGAAAACTTTCATGATAAAGGAAAGGAAAAAAATCACAAAAAAACCTCAAATTTGGCCCATTGTGATACATTTACCTAAATTATGTTTGTGACATCACAAATCTCAAATTTGTACTTGTGTGATACATTTATCTCAATTTTTTTTCAATGACATCAAAAACTCTAAACTTATACTTGCGTGTTTGGGCTTTTGGTGTCACAAGAAAAAGTTTTGGGTAGATATGTCACGCTGTACAAGTTTGAGGTAAATATGTCTTACAAGTACATGTTTGGGAGTTTTAATGTTGCAAAAAAAGTTTGGAGTAAATGTGTCACAGTGAGTATAGTTTAGAGTTTTTGGTGGCTTTTACCCTAATGGAAAATATATTTCATGGAAATTATTTTTAAGAAAAATGCTTATTTTTCATTTTTTTTGCGTGGTTTAGGAAAAGTGATTTCTCTTTTTAGTGAGAAAGGGAAGTCATTTTCCTAATCTAAGCTTATCGTTGTTAGTCTATGAAAAACATGTTTCTGAAGATCGATTACATTTTCGTCATTCAAATACTGAAAAGTCAAAAATTAATTTTTCGAAAATAGTTTTCTCTCAAACAAACGGGTCCTAAAGAAGCTGTCCTCTACAAATGCTGTGTCTGTGTGATGTATGTTTGTATATTATCTAAACAAGAATTGTTGGGCGTCACAATACAATTAGCGTTGTTTAAGTCAGAATTGCAGTGCGTCTAACTTCTTATGATTTTCATCATTAGTTTTCTCATCTCGAAGGTAACTATTAGAAAGCTTTCGACACTGCATGTAATTATGTTCGTACGAAACTAAATCTTAGAATTTCATCTTCGCATCTTTCATTCGAACGTGCTGATTATTATTTTTTTAAATTTTTTTTTACCTTCTTTATGTTGATAAGTGAAGGAGAATTCCAGTTATAACTCAAGTCTATCAAGCAACGTAAGTCATGTCTTCTAGCAATTTTACATGCTGCCATTCTCCCACCTAACAGGACCGGCGGATCATAATGTTACGAATCACGTAAATTTCGAACTGTGATTGACGGGACCACCCGGCTTGTTTTTTGCGTCATAGCCTCATAGGCTACGTATCCCCCAAGAATCTCCAAAGAAACTTAAAAAAGAACGAATTTTTCTTGGCCACTCATTGATATTGCAGCACATCAAACCATTGCCTGAAGTACCCACCGACTATTCTCTTTCCCTCTTGTGCTAACAAGGGTCAATCATGCACTGCCTAATGTTATCACATTGCATATAAGCCCACAAAGAGACACTCCACCGAATTGCAAACGAACCACAGGAAATGGAGGATTCAAGAGAATCCCACAAGCCACTTTGTTTGGTCGTATCATTCCCAGCCCAGGGCCACATCAACCCCATGCTCCAATTCTCCAAGCGCCTGATCCACAGAGGCGCCGGAGTCACTCTTGTCACCACCAAATACATGTCGAAGACCCTTCATGGACTGTCCTCAAACCCCTCGATTTCACTTGAAACTATCTCTGACGGCTTCGATGACGGCGGCATCAAGGCCGCCAGCAGCCCCCAAGCCTACCTCGAGCGCTTCTGGGAGGTCGGTCCAGAGACGCTGAGCGAACTGGTCGAGAGGCTGATCTCCAGCGGCCAGCCACCGTGTTGCATCGTCTACAACTCGTTCTTGCCTTGGGCTCTTGATGTGGCCCAAAAGTTCGGGCTGGTTGGGGCTGCTTTCTTCACCATGTCCTCTGCTGTATGTAGTGTGTTTTACCGCTGCCAAAAGGGACTGCTTGAGGTCCCTGTGAGGGAGCAGGTTTTGCTTCCTGGAATTCCTCCTCTTGAGCCTCAGGACATGCCAAGTTTTGTGGTTGATCCGGAGTCATACCCAGCTTACCTTGGCATGCTTGCCGGTCAGTTCTCCAATCTTGACAAAGTGGACTGGGTGCTTTGCAACACAGTGTATGAGCTGGAACATGAAGTAGGTACCCTAAAACCTTTTTTTGGAACTAAACCATTTGTGAATGGAAAATCTTTATTTTAATCTACTTCTCATTCTTTTTATATTACTTCAGGAGGGGTAAACTGGGGTCCCATCCGATGTACGAGGTTGCATGGACTAAGCACACATTATTAACACACATAACATTCTCGGCATATATATAAGCACATATCTTGCATGTGTCGAATATTTATTGGAAATGTTTGAAGATATGATCGTTGATATTAAGCATGACCTAGGACCACATGAGAAGATAAGACAAAAACATGAGTGGTACACGATTTGGAGTTGTAGCTAGGAAGCGTATATGACTTTACATGTTAGTAAAGATTGAAATTTTACTAATGTAAACACGTGATGCTCAAATATTTCCCTATCGTCAATCACCTAATTAGGGCAAGAGTCGAGTCCCATGCTCTCCCTCTCAGCTATCAGCTTTTTTGATCCATGAGTCTTTCAACTTGATCATTGAAGCACTTAGCTAATATTTCATGACATTGGTTTTGCCTGGCAGGTAGTGGACTGGTTCATGAAGGTCATGCCATTTAGGACCTTCCAACTATTTAGACAATAGGCTTGAACAAGACAGAGAATATGGTCTCAGCATCTTCCAACCAGAACACGACACCACCATGAAATGGCTGAGCACAAAGCCAAAGGGGTCAGTTGTGTATGTCTCTTTTGGGAGCCTATCAGAGCTAAAGATTGACCAAATGCAAGAGCTTGCAATGGGACTAAAGAGAAGCAACTGTTATTTCCTCTGGGTGGTGAGGTCATTTGAAGAAGACAAACTCCCACAAGACTATGCAAAAGAGACAGCCCATAAGGGTCTAATTGTGACATGGTGTCCTCAACTGGAAGTCCTAGCACATGAAGCACTGGGGCTTTTTGTGACGCATTGCGGTTGGAACTCAACTTTGGAAGCGCTCACTTTGGGTGCGCCGATGTTGACAATCCCACAATGGACCGACCAGCCCATGAATGCCAAGTACATAATGGATGTGTGGAAGATGGGGCTGAGGCCACCTGTTGATGAGAGAGGTGTTGTGAGGAGCGAAGATATAGAGTATTGCATTAGGGAGATAATGGTAGGGGAAAGAGGGAAGGAGATGAGAGAAAATGCAGGAAAGTGGAGGAAAATCACCAAAGAAGCAGTCTGTGAAGGTGGAAGCTCTGATAGAAACATCGAGGAGTTTGTTGCTAAATTGATTGATAAGTTTTAAGAGAAACTACTGGTGGATGTATGGAGAAAATTCAAGCAACCATTTCTTGCTTATGACAGGGTGAGAATGATAAATGATGTTGCATTATAGTGACAATATCTGTAAGTCATGGTCATGAGATTCATTAGGTAACATCTTCGTACATAATTTAACCTCGAATGACACAGAAGCAAAATTTAATTAACCTCAACCAAAACAAATTATTTTGAATACAATATCAACCTCAAAACAATAAAAAACCACTAAGCTTTTGTTGCATACTCTTAATTATTCCATGACCTTGATCATCCCTAATTGCTCATGCCAACACCGTAATTGAGTTGGTCTCGTAACTGAGTAAGCGGGCCAGCAGCACAGTATGTAATCCAACATCTCAACCAGGAATCGTCCATGCCATTCCAATAAAATTACAGCTGAGGCTAAGGGTGCGTTTGGCAAGTTACCAAATAATAACTATTTCTGTTCTTTTGTTTCCAGAATCAATTTTGGAACAAAAATCCGTTTGGTAAATTTTTTGTTCCTGGGCACGAATTTGCAAAAATTTATTCCTAGAATCAATTTTGGAACAGAATCAAGAAGCAAAAAAAAGTAGCTTCTTGATTCTGAGAACATGAATCAGAAATG